GGGAACATGAACATGCAAAGCTATTCTCATCTAAAGACCACTTCACAAAGGAAGCATTTGAACATGCCAGATCTTACAATTGGGAAAGCCAGAAAGTATGAGAGCCTACTGAGATGTCATTAAAGAGAATTTTTTTCTCCCTGCATTATTAGGCACACCAGGTGACCTCCCAAAACAGAATATTTGTCCTATAGGTCTAAAGTCACTTCACTCCCTTTTGATGGAGGGTTGTTCTGTTTCCTGACAGCACACTGGGACTTTTGCAAGGCAAGGCGTTGTCACCAAAGGAGACTGGCTTCATCTCACTCTCTGCGACGATTTTTTTTTTTCTCCTCTTTGCATGATGGAGTCCTGCCCGGAGTCTGGGAGATCACTGTCCCCAATTCTTGCCTTGAAACAGTCAAAGTGGTTGTCATGACGGGGTGCACATGGGATATGATGGCAGATGGCTAGGGAGCTACTACAGAAGGATTGAAATCACTTTCTTATTTAGGAGCTTCTGCAAATCTTTATGCCCATGTGGTAGAAAAACAGATGGGGGGACCGTAAAGAAAGCGGTACCCATGTCTGCAGAACATAAGAGGTTGCATCTTGACTCCAAAGAACAGCTATGAATAAATTGACAAATTTATTTGTGGGCTTATCAAGGACATAAAAAGATCGTTCTGGCTGGCAAAGAAAGTGGCATTGTGTCGCTCGCTGACATTCATGCGTCTCCTTTTCTTGGAATAGGTGTTAAATTATAACCAAAGAGCTGGCACGATAAAGCCAAACTGGGATTTTCCAAGCTGTCAAATGAAAAGAAAATTATTAACCATCTCTTTCTGCATCCTCACTCTGGCCCCTGGGGGGAAAAAGCGCCCTTCTCTACTGGCACATGACTTGGAGTACAGGCTCTATGTGCACGCAGTATTGCAACGAATGCCACATTATCACCAACCGCCTGGGATGGTCCTTCTCATATTTACTCCTAACTGGAACAGGATTTCATACAGAGGAGTCTTAAAAAACAACCAGTTCAGAGAGTTACTTGAATAGAGTTTTATATTCTACTCTGTAGAGAATCTCTTGTTCACAAGCTTTTTTTTTTCTTCTTCTTCTTTCTTTGTTTTGATGATGCATATCACAGTTTGATGAGTGGCAAGACTATGGGTGTGGTAGAAATCTGTGTAAAGGTCTTGATAAGGATGGTCCCCACCAGGCCACCTGAATGGTTTTTCTTGCACATGTGATGTCTTGGTTTGTGGTTCTGAGTGGTGGAAAGTTGTGTTGATTTTCACCCTCTTCTGTACTCTTGCTGTGGATGACATGGGGCTGTGGCTGCACCTCACAGCACAGGGGATGGAGAATGGTGTGACTCCCAGGGGTACATTGTGCTGAGGAAGGCTGTGTGGCTGTATAGAATCACTGTTGATTTCTTGAGCCAGAAACCAGGTGACAGTGAAATCCTAAAAAACTGGGAAAATTGGGAAATCATCCAACTTTTTTAGGCCTCAGTTTCCTCACCTTGCATGTTGTGGGGTTGAATTAGATGACAGCTGAGACTCCTCCCAGCTCTGCTTATAGTTCTTGGCTCCTGAGCCTTTGGGGCTCCAGATTTCAGACAGATTACGGCGGGGCGGGGATCTTTTGAAAATGCACATCCTGACTTTAGGTCTAGGGAGATGCCTGGGATTCAGGATTAACCAAAGAAACCCGCTGGTGATGCCAATGCTGCTAGTCCACAGACCACAGTTTGAGTAGCACGGAGGGTGACGGTTGAGGTTGGATAGTCCTGGGTGAGCCAGACCCTCTCTTCATCCCCGTGCCTCAGGTCCAGGTGGCTTTTCAAATCTCCTGATTTATCACATCTTTCCTTCTCTTTGGCAATAAAGACAGACAAAGGGGCAGTGTGAGAACTTCAATTTCTAGTAATCTCATGCATCACACCTAGGCACACAATAAATACTTAAGACATTAAATGAGTGGAAGGAGAAACAATGTGTTCAGACCTATATGTACCCTAAAACCCATCCCTGTGCCATATCAGGTTTCATGATCTGGAATCCCCCATCACCTGCCCAACCTCATGTCCTTGAGCTACAGTACTCAGCTTTTACCTTTCTGCCTCACTATCTCCTGCACATCCCTTGTCTGGTATTGTATTTCCTCTGACCAAATTGTCCTTGAACTCGCCCAAGTTTTCATTTTCTAATGAACGAAAACCCTCCTTCCTCCTTGAAGCCTCCAGGATGCCTCCAACCCAAACATCCTCCCTCTCGGTAGCACCCCAGTCTTTGGGAGGAGAATTCAGACCCTGACCCCACTGGTGCTCCTGCCCCCAGGAGGCACTGGTGCGGCTCACACACTGTTCCTGGGCTCAGAACTGGGCTTCAGAATCGCTCCAACAGACGGTGCGCTTGATGGCTTCTAACAACTGTGTGCAATGCCTTTTCGCAGCTAGATCCAAGGTCTAAACATGACCTTTATTCCTATAGTGTAATATGGGCAGAATTTTCTCTGGAGTGCCCTGCAGTGCTGGGTACAGAGCAGCTGCACAGTGGACACCAAGCTGACTACCCCGGTCACCCATCCTCGGAAGCTGTTGCTGTGGGTCCTCCATTCACATGTTCCTGATGCAACAGATGATCCCACCATTCCCTTGTCATGGTGTCCAGAAGTGGCACTGAGTGGCTGAGGGGGAATCTAACATGGGGCACTCATTCTGTGGGTGTGCGGTGGGTGGGAGTGGACCGGCTAGCATAACTCCCTGGAAAATGCTGGGAAGATAATATGGAGAAATGCCAGGGAGGCAACAGCAGAAGGCTGTCAGGAGAAGAGAAACTGAGAAATCCCTTTTTTTTTTTTTTTGCATGATGCTCCAGGGAGAGGGAGGTTGTCTTGCTTTTCAGTGTTCTGCCTGCAGCTGCCTCTGTCGCTTTGGGTTGGACAAGGCCCATCTGCCCAGCAAGCAAGTGGGGATGGTGCCATTCGGTTTCTGTGATGGCTTGGAGCACCTGCTGCCTGGCGGGTGTCACAAGGCAGGACGGTGGGGACCAGGCTCTCGTGTTTCAGGGGGGTGCCTGGGATGTGCCACGTAGCCCTGTCTGTTCCTGGCGGTGCCCTCCCTACCATTCTCGCAGCGTTGACATTGGAAGCATTTTCAAAGGTGCCTCTCTTTCCTCTGGGGCACAGGCTCCTGTGGCCCCACTAGTCGCTCCTTGCTCCCAGGCCAGGTCTATCTGCCAGCTCTACGTGGAGAACAAGACGGGATATGTAGCTGAGTGGCAGAGCATTCGCCAACCATTCATGAGGCCCTGGGTTCAATCCCCAGCACTTGAACTTGGTGAGGTCACTAGTTTCAAGTGACAAGAGTTCCGCTGGGGAGCTGCTAAAAGCCGAGCCATGTTTGATGCCTCCTCTGTCAGAAAAGAATCTGCACTTTTAAATATTTCCTTCTAATTAAAAACATCATTTATGCATGCTCCAGAAAATGTGTGATGTATACATGTTGAAAAGTAATATTTAAAAAAAGAACTAAGGCGCGTCCTTTTGGTAATCCGTAGAAACCCCTTGTTAGTATTTTGGAGTTCTACATATGGATCTGTTTTCCAAACCCAGTAGGGATCATGGTAAACATCCAGTTTTCTATCCTGGTATTTTCACTTTATGCTATATTTAATTAGGATATTTTCGCTCTGTTAAAATGCCTTCAGAGTGGGATGTTTAATGGCTGTGGAAGAACTCTGTGACAAATATTTCCTCTGATTTACATAGCCACTCACCTGTCGGACATGTCGGCCTATTCTACCTTTTCCTCTATTTTAAATCGTGTTACCCCATGGCTTCAACTTACATTTCCTAGTTTCTATTTTGAACATTTTTCTTTTTCTCTTCTGCCCATTTTCTATCCAGATTCCTTGCCTGTTACAGTGTCTTGTCAAGTGGGTGCTGACGGGGAGCACGCACCTGCCTGGTTCACTTATCCACTCTTTGACGTTTAAATGGAGTCTGTCAGCCCTCAGCTCACAGAACTCTCCTCCTCGCCAGCAGGCCAACAGAGCAGGGTCGCCTCAACACAGCAGGGTAGGAAGAGGGTGCCACCGAGGCAGACCCCAGGAAGAACCCCGTAGGCCTCTTGGACGATCTCATGTCGTGAAACTTACCTGCTGTTCATGCTGCCCCAGGGCATCACGTGACAGAGGAACAAACAGAAGACAGGAATATCCTCAGCTGTGCTTTGAAAGTGTCCCCAGATTGCTGTGTTGGAAACCTAATCCCCAGCGCTCCCTGTTGGGAGCAGGGATATTTAAGTGGGTAATTAGGTCAGGAGGGCTCTTTCCTCATGAATGGATTCATGCTGTTATCATGGGAGTGAGTTCCAGAAAACAGAATGAGTCCAACCCTCTTCCCCCTCCTGCGTATTCTCTGTATTCTCTCTCCCTCTCTCTCCTTCTCTTGTACTTCCACTTCCTGCCAAGGGTTGATGCAGCAAGGACTCCCTTGTCAGCCGCAGGCCCTTCACCTTAGGCTTCCCCCAGCTTTCGGAACTGTAAGAAATGAATATTTTGTTTATAAGTTTCCCATTCTCAGGCATTCTGTTACAGCAGCACAAACTGGACTAAAACATTCTCCTTGAAACATATCTGACACTGTGGTCAAAAAAAGTGGGTCCCCCCCTAGATAACCGTTTCTGTTGAGTTTGGATCACAGCTTGCAGGACACAAACATGTCCATCTGTGTGTGTAGTTGGGGAAAAGAGCTACCGTGCTGCTTCTTATCCTGACCTATCTGGGCAGTGAGTTTACTGCCAGGACCTGACAGCCTCCACTATCACAAAGGGAAGACTTCTTCCCAGCCTCATCCCTGGCCACCCACCCTCCTGAGTAGCTGGTGGGGGTCACTAGGTTTCCATGTCAGATGAGCATCCTCCACTGAGCACTTGGACTACAGGATGATAAAGGGCATGAAGACGGTCCCACGCGAGGATCCCCTTTCTCAAACTAAGGCCAGTTTATAAAACTCATTCAATTGTCATTGGGCAGCACCTTCTTGATGTTGGGGTGAGTTATGCCAAAAGATGAGTCTTCAATCTGAGCACCCCTGGTTGCTGTCAGCCTACCCTGAAATCACTGTGCAAAGCCAAGATGAAGAGAATCTCCCCTCGCCCAGAGGACGCAGATGCTTCAGGTATCAGGTCAGGAATCAGGGAAAAGGGGAGCCAGCGTCCAAGGCATCCCTCCAGGGAAGGGCCTGAGGCTGCTCACTGAGTTGCCCCGGCTCTTGACTGATGCCCACCACCCTTCTCTGTGTTGGCTGGGAGCCCAGCATCCAGGGACCACTGGTGGCCAAGTGGCTGGCTGTGTTGTGTCCCTTTTGTCATGATCTTTTCTGTGCCTGAAAAGTGACCATGAATTTGTCCTTCTGGCTACCAGGAAGGAGCTCTTTTGAAGTTGAGGCTCATTCTGTGGCTTTCTGCCCTAGTCTGGCTGGGCACAATTCACTAGAGCCACTTGTCAAGCAGAAACGAACTTTATTTTTAGAACCACACGCCACACCACAGGAGCTCTGCAGGAATTCCCTCAGAGCCCAACTGCCACCACCAGCTTCCCACCAGCCTCTCAACCCCCCCACTCCTCCTGCTCTTGAGGCGATTGGCTGGGTCGTGAGGGCGGAGCCAAAAAAAGCCCCCCAATGAGCAGCTCTGTGGTCTGAAAGGGCGGGGAAACAGCCCAATGAGCATCACCGCAGAGGAGCCAATCAGCTGGCAGCTAGAAGTTTGCTGGGGCCGCTGTGAGCCAATCATCAGCTGGCAGCTGGAAGTTTGCTGGGGCCCCTTGGGCTGTGGCTCTCAACAGCTTTCCCTGACTCACGTCACTCTAGCCAGAAGTCTTATTGCTGTTGTATCAAGTGGGACATTTGTGTGTCAAAGACCCTGGTAGGAGGTGTTGCTCACACCTTTGGAGCTGGTCTCAGAGGTAGGCGTTCTGTCGGATAGACTCCTGAATTCTTCCCCACCATCCAGGGTTTGCTCATCTACTGTGCAGCCTGGTGGCAGGAGCTCCACCGGGAGAAAGCTGCAGCTCCCGCTGAAGGAAGTGGCACTGCCCTCAGGGACATGGGCACATGGCCCACCAGGGGGACTGTCCTGACCTGGTGAGGAGGTCTGGCCCAACCGAGGTGCTAGCTGAGCAAGAAAGAAGACTTAGCAAGGAGTGACAGGACGAGGCAGGAGGGTATTGGCGGTGGAGGCAGTGTCTTTCCACTAGTCATTGTAGCTAATCACCACTGATGCTGACAACCTCCGGGCTCCATTCTGTGCCATTTTGTGGGTGAGTTCTCAGGACCCCAGTGGGGAGGTGCTGCTGTTGACCCACATCACAGATGAGAAAACTGAGACTCAATGAGGTCATCTCACCCAGGGTCCCACCCTCAGTAAGTGCAGGATACAAAACGTCTTGGGAAGGTCACACACCCTGGCCACACGCTGCCCTGTGATGACAAGGGCCTCCTCACACACAGGCTGGCCCTCCCGATGCCACTGTGCGTGCTCAGTCACCCGAGCCTTACGTGGCTCTGTGAAGCATGTCCTGATGTCACCCCACTGTGTAATTTCAGGAAACTACAGATCAGAGAGCTCTGTTGATTGCCCAGGGTCACGCAGCTGGTGGCGCCGGCCATACCGTAACCCAGGCTGCTCGGCTCTGTTGTCCTTGGAACCTGAGCCATCTGGATTCCCCCTGAAAGGCAGAGCCGGGAAAGGGAGTGTGGGACACACACTGAGAGGTGAAGCACGGCTGGACCCTGACAGCTTTGCCGTTCTAGTGAAGGTGCAGGACTGGTGAGCTCCACAGCACGCGCCCACGTGGGGGGCCACAATGGGACCTGATCCTGGCCACATGGCTGACAGCTGACAGCTAGCCTGCAGCCACCTGGGCGTGCTCATGAGTCACCTGCAGTGACTCAGTGAATTCTGTTGGCCGTTCCCTCCCTCACTATTTCCCCCTGCCCATGTCAGGATCTTCCCCCTGACCTCTTCCCATCTCCTGGTTTCTACTTTGAGCAGAATGACCCTTTAGAGGACTTCATCAGAGAGGGAGTCAGCCTCTGCGTAACTTCCAGTGGCTTCCCACTGACTGGGGAGATGGACCACGCCCTGCACTGTCCACACTTGCTCCTCTTCCCTTCTCATCATAGTGTAGCCTCAGTTTAGCTGGATTGCCTGGGCACTGAAGTGGGAATGTTGTTCCCACCTCAGGGCCTTTGCACACACTGAGCATTCTGCCTGCAGGCCTTCCTGTTCCCAGTTCCTCCCTGTACTTCCAGTCCTGAACGTACCTTCTTAGAGACTTTCCCTTCCCTCTGTCCCACCAGGCTCTCACCATCACAGTGACCTGCTCATTTTTCTATATCATCTCGTCCCATATTTTGGCTATTTTGTTACTGACCTGCTTCTTGGCCCTCTGCCTCTGCAGTCCAAGCACCTCACAGTTGGTGTGAAGTCTGCCGGCCAGTGACGCAGACGCTGGGCCACGGCCTTCGTCCAGGGAGCCCCCAGGGAGAGGTGGTCTTTTGGGTCTGGGGGTGTGGACAGCAGTGAACAGCTGCAGGGAGGCTGGGGTTGTGGGGTAGGTTCTGGCAGGAGTGTCCTGTGGGGTGAGCAGAGGGGTGAGGACGCCTGTGGTCTAGGACCTGCCGAGGGCTTGTGGGAACAGGCGCGATGGCCCAGATGCCATTCAACGCCAGCAGAACTGCTGCCTAGGGCTCAGGATGGGTCCCCTGGTCACCACCACTATCCTACAGATAGCCCGTAGGGTTAGGCTAGGGTGCTGGGAGCTCGCCCTGGGGGATGCCCTGGGAGCCAACCATTCACCTGTTTTCCTAGTTCATCTGTGTAACATGCACTGCCTGAGCACCTGCTGCATGCGGGGCTGGTGGCTGTCCCCGAGTTGAATGGGTGATGGGATGATTCAGATCAGGGCTTCTGGTCCAGGTGGCAGAGGTGACGAGGAAGGGAGCACCAAGCCACTGTGAGAAGGAAGAGGGGCAGGAAGGCAGGGCCTTTGCATGGAGGTAGCTGGGAGATGCCACCAAGACCTGCAGCCCGAGGAGCTGGTGGCCCACTTGCCCCTTTCCGATGGCATTGATGCTATGATCACTATCGTGGCCATCGACACAAATGCAGTAAGTCACAGCCAAGGTGGACCTCCCCGGCCCTCTTGGATGGGGCTCGGCTAGCCAGTGGAGAGCCAGCCCACTGGAGGGGGGCGCAGGAGGAGGAGAGATTCCGCACCCAGGAGAGCAGAGGCCCAGCAGCCACCTCGGAGGAGGCTCCTCCCAGGTCAGGTTCCCTCTCCCAGGTCGGGGTCCTCCACCCAGGTCAGTATCCTCCGTTCAGGTCAGGGCCCCCAGCCAGGTCCAGGAGGAAGAGCAGGAAGGCCAGCCAGAGGCCCTAGGTCACAGGCTCCTGGACTCTCTTCTCCCAGGCCAGGCCATCACATGGTCCATGACTATGGACACATTCTAGCCCATTGGCACCTCCGTAGTGTCCCCGCTCAGCTTGCCCCCAAACTATCCTCGATGTGACAGCTCCCCCACCCCTGCTCTGCTAGCCACTGCCATCTCTTCCTTGATAATGGAGCTGGGCCTTGACTCTCTCCTTCTGCCCTTTCACCTCCGTCTCTCTCACGGGTGGGCAGAGTGATCCTGTTGAAAGACAAGTCAGATCATGCACCAGTGTCCCCTGGTCAGTGATTCTCTGGTCACTTCTGTCCCAACGTGCCCGCCCCATTTTCCTGCTCCCACCGCACTGGCCCCTGCCTTTCTGGCCACTTACCAGGCCAGTGCCACCTCAGGACATTTGCTCATGCCTCCTCGCCCCCCACCAGTTGCTCCCCTCTATCCTGCAGGTTGCCTGCAAGCCATCTTCCCCCAGATCCTTCCTGTCCCCTTCTCACCATTTGGCCTTCTGGGTATTATTCGTACATTTTGTTGTCTACTTCTGACTAAAATGTGAAACCCACATGGACAGGGACGTTGCCCTGTTTGGGTCACTGCTGCAACAGTGCTTGGCACCTAAAGGTCCCCAACACACACTCAAGTGCTTGTCCTTAAAGGGGAGTCTGCTGAGCCCTGGGGGCCTTCTGAAGCACCATAATGTGCTCCCCAGGACCTCGACCTTGGGTCTCCAGGGGGCAGGTGACTGTTTGCCCAGGGGAAGGTCCTCGAATCATCCCGTGCTGACCTTCCCTTTCCTTTCCTGAATTTCCTTCACAGAAGCTCATGGGAAACCTTGAATTACAAAACACCTCTTTTGCCCAGTACTTGATGAATCTAAAAAGCCGGTTCTGTCTGGAATATTCTAAATAATCAGGGGGATTTTAAAGAGAGAGAGAGAGAGAGAGAGAGAGCGAATCCTCAAGCAAAGCCTTTCTTTTCACTCTCTGTTCTGCTGTCAGCACCAGATGGAGGATGTGGCCACGGTGCAGGCTAATTTATTTATTGATTAAAATGCTTACAGAACCCAGCATGTACAGCCAGGCTGAACATTCAATTAAAGCCCGAAATGAAAATTCAGAACTACTGAATGACAAGTAGGATGTGCAGAGCCATCTCTAAGCAAAGGATCAAATGATGAAGCTTTAAGCAGGAAAGGATTTGTTCTATTTATTTATCTTGCCCTTTCTTCTGGAACTCAGAAACCCGGAGGTCCTAACTCGTGGCTGCTGAGCACATGAATAGAAGCTGGCACACTGTGGGGTGGGCAGCTCTTCCGTGCGGCAAGAATAGGAGCAGTGGACATGGTGGCCATGGCCCCGCATGTGCGGTCCCTGCCCAGGTGGGGATGGGGAGAACAGTGACTCTGAAGCGTAAGCTTAGAGATGGAATCTGAATTTGTCCCACTAGCTCCAGAGAAAGAACACACAAATCCAGGCTCCAGAGATGCCAGACACCCTTTCCATAGGGGAGAGCTGGGGGCAAGAAGTGAGTATCGTTCCACCTGCCTTCCTCCTCTTCCTCCCCACCCTCTGTGGCTTCCAACTGTGCACAATCTTCAGAGTCTACAGGCCAGAGTGCCCTGCCCTGGTGGGTTGCCTGCAGCTCCTGTCCCAGGCTTGCGTGTTGTCACCTGTGAGCACACAGTCCTTATCTTCCAGGGCTCCTGCTAAATCAGAAAAACTTTTTTGTTTTTTTTTTGAGGCCTTGTGCCTGCCTTGGGTGCAGCTGGGCTGTGGTTAAGTGCAGGCATTGGAATGTGGCTGGCTGTACCTCCTGCCTATTGGCTTTGGGAAGCTGGAACCTTACTAACCCTGTGGAAGTCTCCACTTCTTCGTCTGTAAAGGGCAGGGCCTGTCTACTTCAGAGAATTCAATAAGGTTGTGCCTGAAGTGCCCGGCACAGTCACCTTCCAGTCAGTGATGACTGCTCTTTCGGTACCCTGAGAATGCCAGCTGGCTTCCTGTAGTCCTACACGTGTCCAAAGACAGCACATGCTCTGAGGGATTTGCCTCGGTTTCTCCACATGGACTGATGGCAGGGGATCACGTTGGGTCATTTGTGGCTGTATGCAGAAGCCAGGCTGCTTACACCAGGACTGTCATACCTTCCCACGAGGCCACACCTGCCAGGTGTGCTGCACACATGCACCCATGCACATGGTGGGTGGGTGTGAATGTGAGTATGTGACTGCGTAGTTGTTGGTATGTATGTTTATGTGGTGGGGATAGTGTCCGTGTAGTGTGTGTGTGTGTCTGTATAGTGTGTGCTATACACTGTGTGTGTATGTTTGCGTGTGTGTGTGTGGTATGGGGCTATGTGTCTGTGGATGTGTGTGCACATGTGTGTGTGTGTGGTCTGTATGTATATGTGGTGTGTGTCATGGGTGCCTTGTGTGTGTGTCTGTTCATGCACGTGTGTGTGTGAGTTGGTGCAATTCTCCCACATGTCTGCATTCCTCTCCTGGAGGCCAGGGGACCCCTTTCTGCCTTGGGGTCACCTGTGTGCAAGGATAAGCCACTTGGGGGTAGCTGAGTGCCACAGAGCAAGGCAGAGGGCTTGTTAGGATGCTGTGTAATCTGAGCAGGCAAACCAGCGGCCTCCAGCAGCATGCCCTCTGGGCCCTACCTTCCCTTCTCCTCTGAGGACGCAGAGTGCCCTCCCTGCCTCAGGCCAACCCAGACCACGCTGCTGCTGGACACAGAAACGCCATCGAGTCCATGAACCGCAGGTTTTAGGAGAGCGGCTTACCAGTAGTCCTGGGTGCAGATGCATCTATACGCTGGCCTCGCATCCCTGCTTGTTCTCCCAGGGAAGCTGTCCCCATAAGCCTCCCGTGCCATCGTTCCCTCAGCCTCTCCCTCACCTCTTCCCTGCTCTGGGCTGTTCTCAGTACTTTGAGTGCTTGACTCTGTTCTCCTTAGGAAGCCACACTGATGCAGCACTGAGGGTGCCTTTTCTGGAGTTCTTTAATGTCTGCAGAATCCTGCCTGCTTTTTCTCCTCTCTTCCTACACAGGAAGCGGTACAGAGGCTTAGTGTTTGATCTGATGGCAGGAAGGCAGTACAGAGGCTTATTATCTTAGACCTCCCCTTGAACGCAGATCTGCAGAGCTGGCTTTGCACTCAGGGAACCTGCCCAGGGAAACTTGCAGTTTGTAGCGTGTGATGTTTTCAGGTGGCTGCTCACGTCCGACGTCTCCAAATTCAGTCATTTTTTTTGGTGACTTTTATAATCCATAAAAATATCAGGATAGGGAAGGGGTGTGGGGCAGGGCATTGAAGTCTCAGTGGCTCAAAACAGCCAACATTTTTCACACCTGCTCCTGTGCATGTGGGTGGCTGGCAGCCTGGCCGATCCCTCCACTGTCCTCACTGGGATGGAGGCTGATGGGAGGGTAGCAGGGTGGGACACGGGGGTGGAGTTGACCGAGAGGAAGCAGAGTCACTGCTGCACACACAGGGCCACCTGCCCTACTTCAGAGCCCAGAGCCAAAGTAACAGGGACCCTCCAAATGCCTCCCGTCAGGTGGCATCCTCTTAGGGAGCTCTTTGTGGCTTCGATGATGCTCTGTGGCACCCAGGGAGCTTGGAGAACAGGCAGGGAATCTGCTGTGTGCTTGTTGACAGCAGTTAATTTCTCTGCTGCCCAGTGGTTTATACATGGGCCAGTCTGGCCAGTGGCTGTGGCTGGCCCAGGAAGGTGTGGGGCCTCTGTGGTTTCCTCAGAGCCTGGCCTGCAGGAAGTGATTCCCGGAGATGAGATGAGACATCACAGCGCTCTTGGATTCCCTCTTCAGACACCCGATTTCACCTGCCCCTCAGGGGCTGAAATAAGTTTAAAAGGAGCAAGCTGGAGTAGGAGGGAACATGCTAGTGATCTCCAACCTGAATTGGAAACCAAATTATGTGATCTCCTGAATTTTTTAACTCCACTGCAACCGGGGAACTTGGAGAGAGATTCTCCAGGCTTTGACAGGGTAGTTCAAAGCCTTGGATGAAAGGCCTCTCTCCGTGTGCTTCTGAGTGAGCTTGGGACACCGTGTGCAGGAAAGGGCCCGTCTCCAGCAGCATGAAGACAGAATGTATGTTCAGTTAGATCGAGGCTGAGGAGTGCTCCGATTTAGAGCAGGACTTTGTCCGGGTTCAGACGCCTTTTTAATCTAAGATGATCTTTGTGTAGAGTTTGTGTCTACTGTGGAATGCTAAGAATGATGAAACTTTTTAAATATGAAAACATTTCCGGACCTACAATCTGGGATCCGGTAAAGTTTGGTGATTAGCTTCCAGGAAAGCAACCTATCCAGTGTCACAGGAGTGGCCAGATAGTGCTGTCATTCAGACTGTTGAGGGACAGGGAGGCGCAGAGCTGAGCGGCAGGCCCAGGGACCTCTGACCCACATTTGGTTTCTGTGGGTTTTTTTTTTCTTTTTAAAACCACCTTAGGATGTTTGATTGACATATACACATCTGTACATATTTAAAGGATATGTCTCTATTCCTTTGGTAATAAGTATGCACCGAGAGAAACCATCACTACCATCTAGGCCATAAACACATTCTTCACCTCCCAAGTTTCCCCTCCTCCTATTATTATCATCATCATCATTATTATTATTAGCTTTTAAAAGTAAGAACAGTTAAGATCTAACCTCCTGGCAATTTTAAGTATACAGTGCAGTATTATCAGTTGGAGTCCCATTGCCATACAATAGAGCCCCCAGACTTACTTACCTTGCAAAACTCATCTTGGTACCCCTTGACTAGGACCTAGCGCCGCCCATTTCTCCCACCCCAACCCCTGGAAACCACCATTCTACTCTCCACACAAATTTCTGTGACTTTGGCTTAAACCCACACAGAAGTGAGATCACCGAGTTTGTGGGTCTGACTTATCTCACTAGCAGAGTGCCCTTCCTGCAGCTTCCTCCGGATTGTCACAATGGCAGGCTCACCTTCTTCTTAGAGGTCATACTGCCCCACGTTGTCAGCTATGGGTTCTCCAGCTTCCCTCTCGGACCTGCGTCCTGAGTCCTCTCTCTGTTGACCCCAGGGGTGAGCGGAGCTGGCTTGAGCTTTGGAACATCTGTTAACTTCTCACCCCCCCTTAGCACTGCCCCGGGCCTTTTGAGTTCAGATTCCTTAGAGCAATTCAGGCTTGAATTAAACGAAGTAAAACTGGCTAAATTTAAACATTCAGCTTCTCAGTCTCAGTATGAGTGCTTAATAGCTTGCGACCCTAATCTGGGAGTTGAGGGTTAACTGAGCCAGTTAGAGGTCACCACAGGTGCTCATTCCCACCCCACCCCCAAGAGCAGCTGTGAAACTGTAGGTGGCCAGAGGAAATGTGGAAACTCGAGGAGTCACAGTGTGACACCGTTGAGAAGAAGAATCAGGGCGAAGGACCAACAGGCTGGTTTCCATCACAGCTGCACAGTCAGCATCTCATTACCTGGTTTGTCAAGCTATCCGGTTCTGTGTGTCTGTCCCAGGCTTTGGGCTCAGCGTGATCCATCTAATGTTATCTGGGTCCACTCAGTGAAATTGCCTTCTAAGATGCTTTTGACTATTTTGGTAATGTTCATCTCTTAGGAAGGAGCTAAGGATACATTGGGGGTACTCTGATTTTCTGGATTGACTCCCAGGGTTACAAGGTTTTTCTGTATCCGATCTTCGGCTACTTGTATCCTGTTGAGTTCCTCAGAAGCTCGGTGATTCATACCAAAGTGAGACCATTTTTAAAATATATTTTTATTTTTGAGTGACACATAGTAATTGTACACATTTATGGGATATAGTGTGATGTCTCAATGCATGAATATAGTGTGTAGTGATCAGATCAAGGTGATTGCTAAATTTATCACCTCAGACATACGTAGAATTTGTGTGGAGAACATGAAATCCTCTTTTTCAAACCAGCCACTTTGAAACGTTCAATTAGTTGCTATCAATCATAGTTACCTGACTGTGCCATAGACCATTGGAAGTGATTTTTTGCTATCCAACTACAACCTGTACCCCTTGTCCACAAAGGGGGAGCATTTTGCAGGAGGCTCCTTCCAAAGTCTCCAGAGAAGAGGAGGGGCCTCCTCAGCTGACTGCCTCTAACAGGGCAGCTGCCTTGCTTGCCCGCCTCTTCCCCTCAGGCCATGCACATTTGGAAGCCAAAGGGGCTTTCATTATTTAGGGACCACAGAAATAGAGATCTCACATTGAAACATACAAATCCCAAGGTTTTCTGCCTGAAATGCTCGAGATATTAAAAAAAAATGGGGGTGTAATTGTCAAAGAAAGAGGATACCTGCTGGGCTATATTTGGAAATTCAGGGCTCTCTGGGCCCAGGTGCACCAGCTTCCCAAGCCCTAGCAGGGCTCTGTGGGTGTGGTTAGAGGAGGCCCTGCAGGGAGCAGAGGAGGAGTCCCCAACACCCCAGAACAAAGTCCTGGAAAAGAGGTGGGATCTGGGCTGCAATGGAGAGGAGGACAGGAGGCGTCCAGGAGCTGGGAGCATGGTTTGGACCAGGCCAGCTGGGGACGGTGTGGACAGGAGTGAGGACTGTGGACGGAGAGGACCAGCAGACAGACTCTACCTTCCCCTCCTCTTTGAGTACCTTTCCTGAACCTTGCAGGTAGAAACCAAGAAAATAGAAGTGACACAAAGTAATTGTACACATTTATGCCCACGGTACCATCTTACTATCGAAAAGAAAGCACTCCAAAGCAAACTCCAAACAACGAGCACCTTGCTTTGCTGAAATCAAAACCAGCAAAATGAGCAATCATTGTCATTCAGAAGAAAGGAGGAAAACAAAAAGGTAAACTCGACTCACAGGGGCTGCTGAACAGAGTTGTATTAAGAGGTTTTCAGCCCATCCCTTCCGTGTTCTATCAGTTGAATATAAATTTCTGAAAAGACCTCATTGTGTTTTGGTTAGAAAAAAATAGAAAGTTTTATTTCTATAAAATGTTCAGGTTCGAAATCTTTTCCCATCTACACATCCATTCATCCGTTCCCTTTTTAAAGGAGAGAAATAGTTTTCTGTCTATTTTTTTTTTGTTTTTTCATTTCTGATGGCTGCCAGACAAGGGTCCTTTTGGGCTTAAAGAGCCTTGGTCAGCTTCTTGGCACTCTTAGGACTCCCTAGGAATAAAGTGATTTTTTCCAGAACAGTGTCAAGGTTGCCTGGGGGCTGGGAAGGGGTCTTGAAGACCTCACAGCTCCAACTCCAGCCTGAGGGGCTCCTGATGTTCTCCCCACTTCTGGGGACCCTGTGGGACACTGGCTGATGCTAGTTAGGAGACTAGGATATTGAGAGTGAACGTGTACCCCAGTCCAAGAGCTCCAGATGGTGACTGTCCAGGCACACCAGGACGTGTGGTCACTCCAGTTCAGCAGGGCAGCCAGGGTCACACACACACACACCCACTCCTTGTCTGTGGCCCTTCCCCAGACCTGGCACAGAAAAGATCTGCAGAGCCGAATGTGCCTTGGCAGCAGCCTGGGGCTGGAGCCCGGCCTGCGCCTGCTCTGCCTGCATTTCCTTCCCCTGTGGCCGAGTGTGCTGGCATCCTCTTAGGGGCTTTTGGCTTAAGTTGAGGGTGGCAGAGGGACACACACCAGATTGCCAGCTCCTGTATTATGTTCTTGCAACTGTGTCGTGGGGGATCTTATGCAAGCAGATGAGTTGCATCGGAGGTTGAGATTATGTACTTAGGGTGGAGACCCCTGGTGTATCACGTCTAGATGGCATTTCTGTGCCCAGTACTAGCGACAAGACAAGGAAAGCAGTGAGGAAGCTTTTGCAGGTGGCCTGTGAGCCACTGGGGGCCAGAATGAGGCTGGCAACAGCAAGAATAAAAGGCTGATGCCCTAAGTTGCCTCAGAGTGTCCAAAGGGACCTTGTACGGCCCTCCTTGGCTATTCCTGTTTTGAAGTGGATCTGAGCTGAATGTCTAAATGAGGGCATCTGCTTAATTGGGCCCTGCAACAGTGGGCCCCATCTGTATACAGGGTCTGCTCAAAACCAGTGGATTCCCAATTCTGCGGGGGAGATGCAACTGGAGAGGGTGCAGATTGTTAGGCAGGGCTCTTCGCTGCCCCTTGAGAAGCCATGAAACTTGCTGGAGGTGTTCTCAGAGGCTGGGGCTGCTCAGGAGCCCTCATTGTGACTTGTTAGGCTACAGAAAAGAAAGAAAGCTACTCAGAGCCCTTCTGTGAGTCTGGTGCTCCTCTGAGCATAGCTCTTGGTATTGTTCCTCCAGCTGTCTATTCCTTGTTCATTCAGACAACATTCCCTGGGCATAGTAGAGCCAGCCATTGCTACATTCAGCGTGACTTTGGGGTTGGCTTGCCTCCTTCTGGAGAGTTCACTTCTTCTCAGTGAGATGTGTTAGGAATGTTGCTCTTGCCCCACCTCGTGCTATGGGTGTTCTGCCCAACACCAGCAAGAAGCAGATACCATACCCTTGACACATTGCTCACAGAGGAGGACCACCCTCCGCCATCTCCATTGAAATGACTGGGGCAGACCAGCTTTCAGAGAGATTCAGAGTCAGCAAAGTGCCTGCCCTGGAAGTGTCAGTGGTGCAGATGTTCTGACTGCTGCATGTGCCTGTCTTCAGACCTGTGCTCCTGCAGCACCTGGCAGTGTTGTCTGGGAATAGAGTCCCCCTGGAAGCTTCCCAGGGCTGCTTCCTCCAGCCCCCGCTGCTGCTGCTCTCGCGAGCAGGCTGCTCACATGGTGGCAGGCGCCTCTGCTCCTGCGCCTGAGAGAGAGGGCAGCCTCCTCTGTCCATGCAGCTTTGATCTGTCCCTGCGGCTGCTGTTTCTCTGACTTTGTACAGTGGCCCATGGTATTTGTTCTTCAAGAAGGAAGCCGCGTGCTATGACTGACTGACGGTAATGGACGTACGCGGAAAGACTTCAGGGCAGGTAACAGTCAGTCAACTTACAAGCCCCTAGAGCCTAGCCCATTATTTAAGACACACCCAACCTGGAATGGCAGGATCACATTTCCTCTCGTTTGGTGACTGCATTGGGAGATATCCAGGAAGAAATTTAAACATCACAGAGCTGTTTGATAGACTGTCCACTCTATGCACACAGACTGCTGCGTGTGTGTGGTGACTAAGTCCCATGCCACCCGATGCTTGGCTCATTGTGATCGAGTGATTGGGGAGTTCATTGCTCAGTTGTTTGGTGTTTGGTGCCTATGGCTTAGGTGACATAATTTAGGGTGCGTGTGATTATGGTGCTACAGTTTAGTTTGTAAATGAGAGACTTCTAATGTCTATTCCTCAATTCTCTACAGAATCAACAGAAGTTCTTTGTTTTTACTCTCAGAGAGACTTGAAATAGAAAAATATCTGTGCCCGTTGTACGGTTCTTCAACTAATGTCCACATTTAGTTTCTACTGCTGGGAGATGTGCACTTGGAAATTGAATATACATAAGTACCTTTTCACAAATTGAACTTCTATATAGTCAATCGATGTAATTCTTAAATCTGTGTTGAAGTACATGACATTGAAAATGGTCCTCTAGTGTCATTACAGGAGCACTTGCTAGAAGTTGGGAAAGGGGTGATTTTGTGGGCAAGCATGACACTTTGTGCTCTATACTGAAGTTTGGGACAGGTGCATTTTTATTTTGGCTCAGTCACTTTCTAAAAGCAGTGGTCCCTGATGACTGAACCGAAGGATGTCTGAGCACTTGATTAAAGATCAAGTCTGTAGAAATACTTCCCTGATTGATATACCCGAGTGGTTGCTTTGTTTTTCCGTGTCTGGCTTCGCTCTGAAAAGAGCACTAATTTCAAGTGACAGGTCACATCAAGGCTGATCATATGGCTCCATCAGTGAAATTTACTAAAATGATGTCTTGTGCCTTTCATTTATCATTCTTATTTTTAATTATAACTTTGAAACTTTTTTCTCATTTTCTTCTACCCACGGCATGGCCTTGCATGGATGGGAAAGAGCCACACAAACCTAGAGCTGGTATTTTCTATGAATTGCCACTGTGTGGTGGTAATTTCCGGCTGGATGAAGTTGGCTGCTGCTGGACATTCTGAACCCACTTGGGCAGCCCGCTGGCCAGTCCAGCCCTTAGTGGTAGATGGGGAACTGTGGTGTGTGCGTTTTGACAGTTCCTTACAGTGTCGTCAGTGCAAAA